CACCTCCCCAGCCCTGGCCCGCACCCCTGCCCCAGCTACCCTAATGCCGAACCCCAGGAGCTGGGTGGGCCCCCCAGCCACGCCCCTCCTTTCCCGAAATACGCTCCACAACCTTTTCAAACCCAACACTCCAGATCCTTTCCCTCAAAACCTCGCTAGAAGCCTCTACCACACCTCAACTTTTGTTCAGACTGAGTCCAAAACCCAGCACCTGCCTCTCAGCATGTAAAGCATCTCAACACCCTGGGCACTGCCAACCATCAGGCCCCCGACACTGTCGTGACTCAGGGCTCCCACCATAGGATCTACTAGCACCCCTTCGTGCCTCTTTCATGAGCCTTTCGCCCAAATTCCCCAATTCGTGCTCCATTTCCCAAGATCTTGGGCCTCGACTCTCCAAGCTCTTCTTGGTAAACCTCAGGTTTTATCTGCTAGGCCAACGCCCAGGGGCCCATATCTTTGGAGGTTGTGATTCTTCCTCGTTGGTTCCTCAGCTTCTACCCCCCACCACCCAGGACATGGTATGAAAGTTAGCTGTATAATTACAATATCCAATAAAACATTAGTTATTATTAGTAGAGCACCTTGCACACAGTAGGCACTCGGTAAATAAATAGGCAGATGCCTGTTAAATAATTGCCTCAGAGCGTGACCTGTCCCACAACCAGTAATCACTGGGGTGGCTGTGCCCACGGACATCCTGTCAGGCAGATGCAGAGCTGGCTCCAAATCCAGGCTATCAAGTGTTCCCCTCCCCTTGCCTCTACCTGGGCCCTGGAGCTTACTCCAGAGGGCCCTTCCCAGAACTCCTGGGTGGGGAGGAGAGACAAGCCACTCAGTCCCCTGTTTTCCGCAGCCTCATTGGATCTTTCCAGGGATTCGCCTTCTGAGCAGCAGGAGTCTGCCTCTTCTTCCACTTAGCCCCATCAGTGCTTGTTTATTAATTACTATAATGATAACAACAGCAGTGCTGGAAGCAGCCTCAGATCCAGCTGCGGGTGCCCCCAGGTGGCAGCACAAGGAGAACTCCAGAAGAGCTGTCAGTTGGCTCGCGGGGGCCAGATTCTTCGGTTTAGCTGAGCACTCTACCAATTTTTATTTATTTATTTATTTATTTATTTATTTATTTATTTATTTATTTATTTATTTATTTATTTATTTTCCAATGCTTTTCAGAGAGAGTGGAAGGGGGAGAGAGAGAGAAACATCGATGTGTCGATTGGTTGCCTCTCGTACTGGTCCTAAGCAGGGCTGGGGATGGAGCCTGCAACCGAAGTACATGCCCTTGGCCAGAATCAAACCCTGGACCTTCAGTCCGCAGACCCATATTCTAACCACTGAGCAAAACTGGCTAGGGCTCTACCAATTTTCTTGGATACTGTGGGTTGGCTCCAGAATCCTTTCCTAAAGAAAAGAAAAGAAAAACAAAACTTGCTCCTTTCCAGAATCCACAGATTCTGAGCTTGGGCTGAGTTGGATGAGGGCAGGCACACATCAGTCTGGGGCTGAAACCAGCTCCCCCAAGGGCCAATACTGCGGCAGGGTGGCTGCTGCACCCCAACACTTGATTGAGCACTTGTTACTTCTCAAGGCTCTCTCTCCCACCTCTCCTCTCTAGAGGGGACTTCAAGTTTACAGTGGAAGGAAGCTTCCTCCTATTGACTCTGACTGACACTGGAAAGACCCCACCTAGAGAATGTTAAACCCAGAGCCCGAACCCAGCCTTCCACTTCCTTTGCTCCCCTCATTCCCTCCCGCCATTTCCTGAACTCTGACAAGGAATCCCAGTCCAAAGACCATCCTTTGCCACCCGCCAAAATGGGCTTCTCAGACGTGTCATGGGTGCCACTGCATTCTCTACTCAGAGCCTAGACAAACTTCCTACTTCAGCTCCAGACCTGAGGCACATCATTGTCACCCTCCAGCAGCACACTTTCCATGAGGGGGCAAGAGCCCTGAGTTCCTGCTTCCTCTACCCGTGCTCCTGAATCCCTCTCAATTCTTAGTACTTCTACTTGCAGGGTAGGGGGGACTATGGGGTCCTGATCTTCTGAATTTCTAGATCCCACATAGGGTGCTTGCCTTCCTGAGCCCCCACAACCCATTCTTCTTACCTCTCCTCTCCTCTC